GAAGGTAAGAAGAGCCTGCTGGATCAGTCCAGTGGCCCATCCAGTCCAGTATCCTGTTCTCACAGCGCCCAACTAGACACCTATGGGAATCCCACAAGCCAGCATTCAAAATTCGCCTGGTGCCAGGCACTTTGGGCACCTGGCTATTGGCCACTTGCGACCAAATGAAGATGCCCAGGTGCCAGGATGGCACCTGAAGTCTCCACCATCTGGATGTGCATGCCTGGGGATCCTTGGATCTTGACTGTTTTCACATGCTAGCAACACGTTCTGTAGATTTCTATCCACTATACTTTGTCTGCACAATCAGAATTTCTGGAACCAAAATGAGCACAGAATGTGGGCTGTCCCTGGATCAAGTGGTTTTTCTTCTTTAGGATCTCAAAGCTCTTAATCTAGCTCAAGGCTGTCATCTGAACTAGCCAGATGTTTCACTGAGAATCCATCATGGTCAGTCCATCGTTTGAAAAATAAGACTTTAGAGCCGTCTTGCCCCCAAATGGCAACTAGATGATTTGGCAATTGTAATGTTGGTTAAAGGAACAATTTGGCGCCTGGCTTATATATATGAGTTTCTAACACTGCCACAAGCAGAATCTGAGTAGAAGAGCACCCCTCCCCTCAGTTCCTGCCCCTTAATTATGGTGAAGTAACTGGGGGTGTTACACTGTCCCTGTCCCAACAGAAGCTGGGATATTGTAAACCACACTGTGATCCTTGGATGAAAGGTGGTACAGAAACTTAATAAATAATAATATGATAAATAAGTAGCCAGCAAGAGCTCTTGGATTCATAATGAGGCTACACTGAATAGCAAAGTTAAGTGCTTTTTTAAAAGGGTCCAAAGCAGGACATTAAGGGATTGGGAGAAGCCCCTGTGATGGATAGCTGCAGGATGGGTCGTCCTGGAGTAACCTGAGGCATTGCGGAGTACAGCAAGTCCCACGGTACTATTGACAGAGATCGGTACTGGTCAGCAGCACAGTGCAGGCTGGGTAGTGTTTCTCACCTCCAGCGGTTCTCAACCTGTGGGTCCCCAGATATTGTTGGACTACAACTCCCATCATCCCTGAGCTCTGGCCTTTCTAGCTAGGGGTGATGGGAGTTGTAGTTCAACAACATCTGGGGACCCACAGGTTGAGAAAGGCTGCTCTAGGAGCTGGCAGTGATGTTTGATGATGGGAAGGCAGGTGAGCAACACCACCCTGTCTGCGCTGCCCAATACTGCTGCCCCTACCAGTGCACAGCTACAAATGAGTATTGATGGATTTTCCCCAATAGCAATTTTGAGCATGTTACTTCCTCTACCACCTAGTGTTGCAAAATCAGCATTGTCAATATTAACTCTTTTCTGGCATGAACCTCAACAGTTACTGGTTCAACTCCCTACCTTGAAGGGGCTGAAGTGGTTACAGAAAGCATCTGGTAACTACAATAAATCCCCCAAAATAAGACAGGTAAAACTAGTGCAATTTTTCCTGAAAAAGAGGTGCTAGAACTCGTCACGAGCACCTCCCTTGCTCTCTTATACAGACGTACCTTGGAAGTCGAACGGAATCCGTTCCAGAAGTCCATTCAACTTCCAAAACATCCTGCAGCCAACTGGAAGCCGTGCTGGATGTTCGGTTTCTGAAAATCATTCAAAAACCAGAACAATCACTTCCGGTTTCCGATCATTCGGGAGCCGAAACATTTGAGTTAACAGGCGTTCAGCTTCCGAGGTTCCATTGTAATGGCAATAGCGCCCACCTGAGAGGTGCCAGAACAAAAAAATCCCAATATAGCATATAGCACTTAAGATGGAAGCCAGAACTGTATCTGTTCCCACTGCTGGGCTTATTCCAAGTGAACGCTCAACTCCAAATATGACATCTCCACATGACTACACATGTATAGGCTATTGGGAAATAATTTTGCATTCAGTTGGCAACCTGAGGATTAATTAACGTGTTGCAGCAGCCATGTGGAGTTCAGCTAAAATAAATTATATGTGGTTTCTCCATGCTTTGTGTGTAACAGGTGGCTCAAAAAACCCCATGGGTCACACAACTATATGCAATCATGCATAAGTTGGGGGGTGCCTGGGCTACAGACTGGGCTAAGCAGGCTTTGTGATTTCTCTCCCAAATATGAACAGAAGGGGGGGAGGGCAGAAGATACACAAATGCAACAACCAACTGGGTTAAGAATAAAGCAAACTGTGTAAACGCCTATTACAAAAGCTACACAGAACTGGAGCTGTGATTGCCAAGACAACTCTGAGTCAAAACCCAACAGGATTCAAGGAACTGTCAAGATTTCCAGTCAGCCCCAGTATCCTAGCCGATGGTTTCCAATACAGAATAGCCATTAGCCACTGTAGAATTGACACGTCTAAGGATCTTAAAAAATTAAATTGGGTTGTATCAGTAAAGATTGCACCCTGGAACTTTACATCACTTTTCACTGAGCAGTTGAAACTAGAGACTTTGCACACTGATTTTTCAGTCAGCACACCTGAAGACTGTAAACACAAGTACACCAAAATCAGAAAGCAAGTGCCTGAAATCCGTGGGACAAAGCATATTTACTCGAATCTAATGCTCACCCTTTTTGGCCAAATTATGTTGTGAAAATTCAGGTGTGCATTAGATTCAATGGCACATTTACATTTGCCAGCAAATACTTTTTTTGGTTTCAAGGTTCTGAAAATTCAGGTGCGCATTAGACTCGAGTAAATGCAGTAATTCCAATGAATTGTGCTAAGGACATACGTGCCAATTCCCTCACAGTAGTATTTGTATAAGCAGCTAGGAATTTAGTTGTGCTCAACTAACTTTTACTCAAAGCAGATCCATTAATTAACTAAAATTAATGGACCTAAGCTAGTCATAGTTATTAATTTCAATAGGTTTACTCTAAGTAAAACACTACCAACAACCTTAGCCAAAAGGCTACTCTGAGTAAAAGCTAGCTGAATACAACTCATTGTCCTTTGCCAGTGAAATACTTCCAAGAATGTTCCTGGGCATTTTATGACATCACAGGATGATGTCAGAGCAACAAAGCCAGTGGCAGCCACAGGCCATAATACCTGGTCAGCTGACGTACTTGCATGTGTAAAAAGCATACCCTTCACTCGACCCCTTGCATGGGCCCAACAGAACTGAAAAGGGTAATGAAGTTTATTGGATTAAACAGGAAATTTATTTCAATATTTTAATGCCAAAGCCTTCCTACCTTTTTCAATATTTTTTTCAACAGTTCTATCCCAAAGGCTTTCAAAACAGGGCAGCTTATTAAATAAAGCAAGGGATTTAGAACATGAAGATGGTTGTTAATTAATAGTCCATTACTCCAAAACTAAATTGCAAGCCTACATAATGCTTGCAAAAGGCATGCAGCAGGTGAGTGGGCGACAGAAAGCTTGTTGATGGAATTTTCGTTTCATTTCATTTCTCTCCTCTTCAATTTTACTGCTGATTATAAGTACCGGTAAGTTAAGGTATTGCTGGGGGAGGGGGGGAATTGCTGTTGAAACATCCTCAATGACCAATGGGGTGCAATAACACAACCAAGGTTGTTTTGTGAATTTCAACAATTCTGCAATCTAGAGAGCAGCAGATGAAGATAGGAAGTGAAAGTGTGATGAGGTGCCCTGCCACTTATTATTATTGTTATTATTAAAATTTGTATACTGCCCTATACTTGCAGGTCTCATGGCAGTTACAACATAAATCACAAAATATATAAGAAAAAGAAAAACAACCGATAAATGGGTCAACAGGTCATTTCGATGTAAAATGTTGGATCGGAGTTAACTGTGTTCTTAACAGTCCTGACCACTTTTACTTAGAATGATCACATACTGTTTTCAACATAACTTATGTCCATGTAAATGTGCCAAGGATTGCAGTCTGTCTAAGTATTACAGCTTTTGAGCTGAAAACTTTGGTGCCAAAACTGCTATTTTGCTTCTTGCTTGTCCAATTTTTGTATAGTAAAGTAGCAACGTATTTCAGATTCATTTCTTGTATGAAGCAGCATTGGTAAGAGGGGAAGTGTGCAGAAAACCATTAGTTTAAAGAAACCTTTTGCATTCTCAGTCTAAAAGAAGGTAGATATTTCCCGGGGAACATACCTGCATGTCACACTAAACCAAAGTTTCATGTGACATGAACAAGCTGCAGCGAGTCTCAGGCTTGCATGGTGTGTCTACCCTTCAGTCAAAGAGGCAGCATTTCAAAGCTTCCACTTCTGTCTTTGATTAATCACAGCTCGCTATATTGTCCAGACTCAGAAACGTGGTTAATTTTAACTATGGTTAGTTTAAACAGGACTGCTTCAGGAACTATGGTTTGAAATTGGTTTGTCAACTGATCAATTCGGACGGCTAAACAAAGCTCCTTCCACGTAGGAGGAAGACGGGAAGTGTGTGTGGACCAGGAGGGGACACACACAACACATTGGCTGCTATGCAAACCTGTTATTTTAGACCACAGTCTTCCATCTGCATAATTCTCTACATGTCATTGGGCAGAGAACTGAATGCTAGGTCCAGTTAATATTTTTGAATGAACACTGGCCAGAAATGGGCTGTTCACGTCGCCAACAAATGGAGCACAGCAAGCTACTTAAAAAAACCCCTAGACAAATAAATCTATACAACAACAACAACAACAATAATAATAATAATAATAATAATAGCTTTGAAATACATCAATCTCTTCTTCTCTCCCTCAGTAACTTGAGGGGATGAAGCAATTTATTTCTGGCACTGAATGGTTTATGCTGTATATTCAATCATCTTAAATCACACATATAGATCACCATCTCCATGCTCTTTTCAGTCACCTGCCACTTTTCTTAGATTTGCACATAGTGTATAGCTCCCAAGAACACGGAAAGATGCAGTTAACTAATCTCGTGTGCCTATCTTAATGTACATTTGGAGTGTCTGGCTGTTTTTAATCTAGGCCCAACAGAAAATAGCTCTGATCTTTATTTAGGAAGTGACTTACCAGTCCCTCATTATCTTCCGAGGTTCTCTGATAATGTGCTGCTAGGGCAACATAGTCCAGTGCCTGCTTATTACATTCAAAACACTTTAATCCGTGACGAATTAGTCTCAACGGGTCCGCATACAGGGGCAAAGCCGGCTGAGCATTTGTTGAGCTCCCAGTCCCGCTTCCCGGCGCAGCGCAAGTCTTTTGCGGGAGAGGGGGCAACCGTGACGTCTGAGATGTCGAAGACGCTGAAGAGCTTGTTGGAGAAGGCGAAAACATTTGGTCTAAGGAAATGGGTTTCATGAACAGCTGAGAACACTGCATGATAAAGCCTTTGCTCTTGTGATCCCTCGCATGCTTGAGCAAGCTGCATTTGTTGAAGAACAGCAGCGTCGCCGAACACTGAGTGCACATGACTTCAATGTGGACACTTCTCCTGCTGTAATGCTGGGTGAGGCTTTTCTCTAAGGCAAACGAGTCGCCACATTCCAGGCAACAATACCCAGACGCAGGTAAGTGAATACTGCTGTCAAAAGGAGGGCTGAGGTTTGGAGTATAGATTGGCACAGGATTGGCACCATGCAACACTTTGTTGAATGCCTCGACGACAAGAGGAGCGGCTTTCTTAACCTGGTGCACAAGCGGCACAGACATCTGCGTGAGCTGGGACGGGCCGCGCCGCTGCACGGAAGATTTCGCCGCCACAGAAGCCGCAACGCTGTGGGGAACCAGGTTGAGATTGGCCAGGTGCACGGCTTTAGGAAGGAGGCTGGCAGGGTTACAGGGCTGCGCCACCACACCCGGCTGCTGCTTCTTGCTTGACGGCTGTCCCACAATACCTTCTTTTATTGTCCCGCTGCTGCTGTTTGCCAGCAGGGGTGCACCAGGGGTGCTGCTTACAGGAATGTCTGCACTCATACTGTCAACGTGGGGACTTGCTAGGTTTGCCTCTTGAGCAGTGGCTTTAGCAAAGCCCTTGCATGACTCAGTGTCCATGGATGCATTTGGTTCTGGTGAAGGGAAGGATTTCACAAACTCTTCGGTTGCTGAACTCTCCACGGGCGATTCTTCAGGAGATTTGCCCAAGTCATCGACTTCCGGCAGGATCCTTGTTACCATTCTTTTAATTTCACCAGAGGAGGTTTTAATAGTCTTGATCCTGACTTTGGGAATTGCTGGGGGTGAACCAGTTGCCACCGAAGGAGAGCCTTTGCTACTGCTGTCACTGCACACACTCCGGGGAGACTCGGGCTGCTTGCTGACTTTTCTCACCATCTCAAGGGGGCTTCTGGGACTCTTTGGTGACTTTGGCATCTTGGGGCTTCCCTTGATGCCATCTTTAAAGGGCCCAGAAGACTCCTTCGTCAGGTTTCCCTGGTCCTCCTTTGAGATGCCTGCAACCTTTTTGGCCTGAAGGGCTACAAGTGCAGCGACGCAGGATGAGAGCTTGGAGTGGGCAGGTTTGATACGCTGGCGAGGTGGAACTGACGAAGAGGAGTAGTTCATTTCAGGCACAGATCCTTTACTTTCCCCCAAGTTATTGCTATGGAAATTGCCAAGCTGCAACCCTTCGCTGAGGAAGTTATTGGTGTCCACAAGGTCTTTGACAGGGCCCTCCCGTTTCTCAGGGCTCTTGTCACGTTCCCTCTTGCTAGCATCCACCCTGCTTTCTTGCAGTTCATGCATATCTATCTTTGGATCTCTTTTACAGTATTGATCAAACATACTTAACTCGGGTTCTGCTATCTTCTTACTAAGCAGATCTAGCAGCGATGGCCCAGTTGACATAAACCTACTAAACTCTGGTTCTGGCAAGGTCCTACTAAGCAGATCTAACACAGACGACCCAGTTGGAATATACATTGGATGCGGTGGAAAATAGGGAGTTTGGACATGTTTAGGTTTATCTACAATACTGTTCTCTTTGAGTGCATCCTCCGGCTCAGGGCTGGAGATGGGGCTGAACTGACTGAATGTTGGTAAGGGCTCTGACTTTGTCTGTTCCAACTTTTCAGGATAGTTCCTCAAGCCATCACCATTGATGAAAGTGGAATCAAATTTCCCATAATTGTGAGTCTCCAGGGGAAGTTCAGACCCCCGGAATCCATTGTGCAGCAGGCCTGGTCCTAGGTGGTTGCCTTCCTTTTCTGCTTCAAATGACTCTTGTCGGCACGTGTTCTTCACAATGACACTCACAACTGGAATGTCAGAAGATGGCGCTGCATGGGACAAGGATGCGCTTTCATCTATACAAATCCCAGACTGCTTGAGATGGTTTTCGTTCTCCTCACCAGCTGTCTGAATGGCTTCCTTGGCATCAAGGCTGGTTGGGTCAGGAATGTCAAAAGCAGCCAGCAAGTCATCAAAGTCTGGAGTTTTCATGTCCCCCATGATGAAAACTACAAAAAAGCAAAACATTGTCAAAAGCATTCTCGGTGTGCATTTTCTGAATTTACCTCTCTTTCTAGAAATGTCAAGATTTGGGTTCTAGAAACAGTAGAGAAACATGAATACTGCTCTATTAGTAGTTCCTACACTCTACAAAAAACTTCTTCAAGCTGGTTCTCTCTCTGAATGTTTTGGACTACTGTTTGAACATTCCTTGCCCATGCTGGCTGGGGATGATAGGAGTTGTAGCCCAAAACATCTTGAAGGGCCCTGTGTTAGGGAAAGCTTCTCTAGGGATTCAGTTGATTTTTCAGAAGACAACACACCCACACTTTCTAGAATGGGAATGAAAGGTGTTATATTTATAATGAACAGACCACAAGCAGTCTCCTTGAGGCATGCTTTGCCTTTTCTAACTTCCTCCCCATTGCACACAGCTGCAGCAAGAAGGGGGCAGGGAACCCTGAAAATTTTCACCAGGGGATTTACCTGTTGTTGCTGACACTCAAAACCCAAAGCCTATGATTTTCCTTCTACAGATCGTGATGCAGTATTATATACTAAAAATAATGATAACCCAGGGGTGTGAGAAATATGCCACATTTTCTAATAGCAAAACGTCTTGGTCCAGTGCCTATCAGTTGAACAGTCCACAGACAAGGTTCATGCACAGTCAAGGGGCCTCCCCAGTATGCAGAAATGAATTTTTGTAAATTAAAAAGGGGAAAGAGCCTCAAAAAGCCCAGTTGTGTGAGGACTTGAGGACGCTCAATGGATTCCAGAAGTTACTGAAAGTTGAGTGCATCAGCTGAAAGGAAAACACTGTGGCATAAGCTTTCGTGGACTAGAACCCACATTAAGAGATGCAAATAGGCTCCAGCCCACTGAAGCTTTATCTTTAGGCAAACACAGCTACCCCACTTGGAAGTGGCTTACTGTATCCTGAGGGGGCGGGAGACATGCCATGAGATTTTAAAAAATCTCATACCTGCACCATACAGGGAGGTTTCAGTATAGGGGAAAAGAAAAACTGTATACCGTATATACTCAAGTATAAGCCGACTTTTTCAGCATATTTTTTATGCTGAAAAAGCCCCCCTCGGCTTATACTCAAGGCGGGCAGCGGAGGGACGAGCTGCGCCTCTCCCAACCACGGCTCCTATGCCTGCTCTTGCGAGCGGCAGAGGTGGCGGAGGAGGGATGAGCGGCCCAAAAAGAGCCCTTTCTCGCAGCTGGTCCCACCGCCGCTGCCCGCAAGGAACCCTTTCGGGCTGCTTGTTCTTCCTCTGCTGCTGCCGCCACCACCAGGTTTGTGGTGTGGTGAACCAACTTATACTCGAGTCAATAAGTTTTCCCAGTTTTTTGTGCTAAAATTAGGTGCCTTGGCTTATATTCAGGTTGGCTTAAACGGTATATACCATATTTTTCGCCCTATAGGACGCACTTTTTCCCCTCCAAAAATGAAGGGGAAATGTGTGTGCGTCCTAAGGGGCAAATGCAGGCTTTCGCTGAAGCCTGGAGAGTGAGAGGGGTCGGTGCGCACCGACCCCTCTCGCTCTCCAGGCTTCAGGAGAGCCCCAGCGCCAGCCCCACAAGGTCGGGGGACAGAGGGAGGCGGAACGCCGCCATCCCGCTGTCTCCCAAAGTGGTTTGGAGGCTGACGGCGGGGAGACCCCGCCGCCAGCCCCGCAAGCTCCGGGGACAGTGGGGAGGCGCAGCACGTCTCCCCACTGTCCCCGGACCTGATCTGAAGGCGGGCGGCAGGGAGAAGAGCGCTTCTCCCCGCTGCCGGCCCCACAAGCTCCGGGGACAGCAGGGAGGCGCAGAGCGTCTCCCCGCTGTCCCTGGACCTGGTCTGAAGGCGGGCGGCAGGGAGAAGAGCGCTTCTCCCCGCTGCCGGCCTCGCAAGCTCCGGGGACAGCTGGGAGGCGCAGCGCGTCTCCCCGCTGTCCCCGGACCTGATCTGAAGGCGGGCGGCGGGGAGAAGAGCGCTTCTCCCCGCTGCTGGCCCCACAAGCGCCTGGGGGGAAAATAATTTTTTTTCCCTTTATTTCCCCCCCAAAAAACTTGATGCGTCCTATGGGCCGGTGCGTCCTATGGGGCGAAAAATATGGTATTTTCCTTTTCCTGCTCTCCAGAATCTCCTCCCCCTCTATCTTCGCACATCATAGCAAAAAAGTGCTCAAATTCAGGGCTAATAGCTCTTTTATAGTATGGCGAGGGAATGTTTGAGGAGCGTGGGAAAGAAAAGCTCCCCCACATATCACAAGCCCTGAACAGCACTGCAAGGCATCTTTTCAGGCTGGCTAGAGCTCTGAACAGGAGAATTTGTGTTAAGGGCTGAAGATACACTGCAACACTTTGTTGCAGGTTCCCTCTGGTTATAAGATATAATAAACAAACAACCTTGTATTCCTGGCACCCTGGGGTTCTCATCATTCTTCTTGTGTGTCGTTTACCAGGTGCTGCCTTGCTTTTTCTTGTTGTTATGGTTGGTAAGTTTCTTGCAGCAAGCCCAGCCAAGGAGGGAAAGGGACTAAAGTGTGGCATAAACTGATTATTTGCAGTTGGTCTACAGCCACCAGGGGAAACAGTGCCAAAATACGCATTAGAGCAATCCCTTCCTGGCTGATAGAAAGGTTCACAGCGATGGCTCCTCTTTACCTCATGCCTTTCTGGGTTGCACACACAGGGTGATGATATAAGGCAGCGTTTCCCAACCGGTGTTCCGCGGCACAGTAGTGTGCCGTGGAACTTTGCCTTGTGTTCCGCGTGGAGGCGGCCAAGTCGGGCGGTGAGAGGCGGGGCGGCGGCGGCGAGCACACGCGGGGCTGCGAGCGAGCGAGCTCCCACATCCCATCGCCGCTCGCTACCGGGCCTGCGCATCCGCTCGCTAGTGAGCGGGGAATCCCATCCGCCCCCACGTGAGGGGGAATCCCATCCCAGCCCCCGCGAGAGCAGGGGAATCCCATCCGGCCACGCCTCCTGGCCAGCCAATCGGCTGGCTGGAGGGGGCGTGGCTTACCCTTTTTAGGGCCGGAGGAGAGGGGGCTCGCCCTCTCTTCTCCGGCTAGCCCCATCGCCGCTCGCTATTGCCGCTCGCTACTGGGCCTGCCGCCTGCTCGGCAAGCACACGTGGGGCGGCGAGCGAGCGAGCTCCCACGTGCGACGGCACCAAGCAGGGGCCCTTGGCCGTGCCGGTGCCCACCGTGCCCGCCTCCGCCCAGGAGGGCGGCAAGCAGCCACCGCCACCCCCGCCGCTGCCCGGCAACCGCGCCGCCACCCGCGGCTCCCCGCGGCGGGTGATCGTGCAGGCTTCGACGGGCGAGCTGCTCCGCTGCCTGGGGGACTTCGTGTGCCGCCGCTGCTACCACATCGCCGCTCGCTACTGGGCCTGCGCGTGCGCGATCGCGCCTTCGGGATTCCCTTCAGCAGGCATCAAGCAGCCTGCCTCCCTGCTTTTTCTAATTAAGGGAACCTCCACTCTCCTGCCCCTCGGTGTTTCTCACCCAAAGCCTTGTGGGCAGCAGGAAGTGGGGCTGTCCTGCCTCTACCCCACGCCGGGTGGCTGCTGACACGTCCCTTGGGCAGGAGAGGCATCCGGCTGGATGAAGGCAGCGACGCCGGGGGAACGGAACAGCACGGCAGGTCTGAGTTGGCGCCTGGAAGGACACAGACTGCTTCATGTAGCTGCATTCAACAGCTCCGAGGCTGGCAGGTGAGTGCGTGCACTCCTCTCTCTCATTTTATTTAATGTGCATTTTAGAAGCATGTGGAAATATCCTGCGTCATCAACCACTTTGGGGAAAGTGTGCGTGTGTGTGTTTGGGGCTAGATTTCATGCATGCCTTTTTTTTAAAGTTCTCTTCCTGCTTCATCCACATTCACCCCCCAAAAGGCCATTTTCTGTGTGCTGAATAAATTCTGCAACTCAAACGGCACGAGGTGCCAATGCATCGGGGCTGTGGAATTTATTCTGCTTGCATTTTGATGTTTAAATGTTGTATTTTAATCTTGTTTTTAAGTTATATTTCAATCGACTTATTTTTTATTATTTATTATATTTCAGTCGACTTGTTTTTTAATTTGTTGTTAGCCGCCCTGAGCCCAGTCTTGGCTGGGGAGGGCGGGGTATAAATAAAATTTATTTGGGAAAGATGGTTTAGGTATGTCCAAGCAGCCTTGATAGCAAAAACTGTTTCTCACAAACTTAACAGCGTATACAGCACAGTGGCCTTATTACAGTCTTTTTCAACCGCTGTTAGTGTTTTTCAACCTTTTTAGGTTTTCTGTAAACTGGGGAAGACATCCATGTTGGAAGTTCAATTCCTTGCTTAGCCATGAAGCTAAGTGCCTCGGGGACCTCGTGGCTTCTGCTATTGCGTGTGCTGCCGTCACTCTTCCCGCCATTCCCATGTATAATTCGTGCCCGTAATACAGGCAGTAAGAACTGTTCTGTATAACGACTACCCCGCCTCTCCCACCCCATCTAAGCCCATTTTTTTTCCTTTGCAGAAATGAGCCGCTGAATTGAGCTCACACAGTATGCATGTTTTTGCCTGGCTGTGATTGGTCCGGACTCAAGCCTTGACCTATCACAGTAGGACATCATCTTCCGACTTCCTTCCCGCCCGAGCACAGAGACCAGGACTCAGCGGGAGTCGGCACTGCAGAGAGGCCGGATACTGGAGTGATGGAAAAGTTTTTGAAAAGAAAAGAACTGGACTCTGAACAAAATTTGGAGCCAGATGAGAGGCCAAGTACGAGTGGGCATGAAAAGAAAGCAAAGATGGTTAGCTCAAGCAAATTCTCTGTCACAAGGCAATATAGCGAAAGCTATATTTCATTTGGATTTACTTTCACCGGAGATGCAAACCAACCAACTCCACTGTGCGTGGTGTGTGGTGAAAAGCTAGCTAACAGTGCTATGGTCCCAAGCAAACTTAAACGCCATCTCCAAACGAAACACCCTTCGCTTAAAAACAAGAATGTGGACTATTTTGTTCGCCTGCGTGAAAACACAGAGAAACAGGCAACTCTCCTGAGACAAACCTCAAAGGTAAATGAAAGAGCTCTTAAAGCTAGCTATCACGTTGCTGAACTTATAGCCAAGACAAAAAAGTCGCACACTGTGGCAGAGACATTAATACTTCCCGCCTGCAAAGCTATTGTAGAGGAGATGCTCGGACCTGAAGCAGCTAAGGAAATAGCCAAGGTCCCTCTCTCAAACAACACAATTTCCAGACGTATTGATGACATGTCTGCAGACATTGAAAGTGTGGTTTTGGAAAAGATCCATTGCAGTGAGAAATTTGCATTACAACTGGACGAGTCTACTGATATCAGTGGACATGCTCAACTCTTGGCCAATGTGCGTTTTGTTGATGGTGATGCAATTAGAGAAAACTTCTTTTTCTGCAAGGCATTGCCAGAAAAAGCAACAGGAGAAGAAATTTTTCGGGTCACATCAGAATACCTTGAACAAGGAGGACTTAAGTGGGAAAACTGCACAAGTGTCTGCACCGATGGAGCTGCAGCCATGGTCGGGCACACCAAAGGCTTTGTAAGCAGAGTGAAGGAAAGAAATCCAAATGTTATTGTTACGCATTGTTTTTTGCACCGTGAGACCCTCGTAGCCAAGACTTTACCAGCAGACCTAGTTCATGTGTTGGATGATGTTGTGCGCATGGTAAACTTTGTAAAGTCACGACCCGTGAAAAGTCGCATATTTGCAGCTTTGTGTGAGGAGATGGGAGCGAAGCATAAAACCTTGCTGTTTCATACGGAGGTCCGGTGGTTGTCGCGTGGCAAGGTCTTGGTTCGTGTGTATGAGCTGCGGGAGGAACTTAAAGTGTTTCTGACAAATGAGAGGACAGATTACGCAAAACTGCTTGCAAGTGATGAGTGGTGTGCAAGGCTGGCATACCTGGCAGATATATTTCATCATCTGAATGAACTGAACACACGAATGCAAGGCCGAAATGAAAACCTGCTTACAAGTACAGATAAAATAAATGGATTCCGTGCAAAGCTGCAACTCTGGCATCAACACGTGGAAAGTGGCAATCTTGAAATGTTCACACTCACCAAGCAATGGCAAGGTGTTCACACTGCTGCACTGTGTGAGATAATAGCTAAACATTTAAAAACTCTCGAGGGGAAGTTGTCATTTTATTTCTCTTCAGTCTCCACTGAATGCCTTGACTGGGTTAGGGACCCTTATAGCTCAGCATCAGTTGGTGGAAAGGACATGACTTTACAGGAGCAGGAGGAACTAACTGAACTGAGACAAAATCGTGGTTTCAAGCTAAGATTTGCTGATCTACCTTTGGACAGTTTTTGGTTGGAAACTGCCAAGGAGTTCCCCCTTCTGGCAAACAAAGCTATTTTGACATTGCTCCCATTTTCCACTACATATCTCTGTGAGTTGAGCTTTTCAAGCATGATTGCTATAAAAACTAAATACAGAGAGAGACTGAGAGCTGTTGACGAAGAGCTACGTGTGTGTCTTTCTTCGATTCCAGCCAGAATATCAGCTTTGTGTTCAGCCAAACAGGCCCAGGTTGCGCACTGAATCAAGTATTTTATAATTTTTCATATTTCTGTTTACTTACCATTTCATAATAAAGTAATTATAAAATACTTTCTTTGTGTTTATTTGATTCCTATTAAAGAGAGTTACTTTATATATAGTCAATATAGGCAAAGAGTTAATTTTTAAAACATTTTCTAATGGTGGTGTGCCTCGAGATTTTTTTCATGAAACAAGTGTGCCTTTGCCCAAAAAAGGTTGGGAAACACTGATATAAGGGAATAATTATTTTGCTCCAGGCTGCACAAAGGTCATACAAAGAGCAAAGTCCACTTTCTGCAATGTGCCCTCCAGAGCTGTCAAGTGTGACAACACAGAAAGTTAAAGGGGAAACTCTCCCATTCTCCTGCTGCAGAAGCCAAACACAACTGCAGAAGCTGGAACTTAAAACTCACGCCATTTTATATAGCACAAGAGCACCTGGGTACGGTATCCTAAACTCCAGCCTTTGCCAACCTGGTGCCCTACAGATGTTTTGGGCTCCAATTCCCACCAGCCCCAGCCAGAACAGGGGCTAAATCTACATTGCCTATTGGCTGCCCAGCTGATAAGGGAAGGACTGTAGCTCCCCTGCTTTGCATGCAGAAGGGCCCAAGTTTGATCCCTAGTACAGTTGTGCCTTGGAAGTCAAACAGAATCCGTTCCGGAAGTCCGTTTGACTTCCAAAATGTTCGAAAACCAAACTGCGGCTCCTGCAGCCAATCAGAAGCTATGGAACGTTCCAAAAGAACCAGAACAATCGCTTCTGGGTTTGCGGCGTTTGGGAGCCAAAACGTCCGAGTTCCAGGGCATTTGGGAGCTCCAGGTATAGCTGAGAGAGAACCCTGCCTAAAATCCAGGAGAGCTGCTGCCAATCAGTGTAGACAATACTGAGCTAGATGGACCAATTATCTGACTTGATATAAGGCATCTTCCTATACAACTCAAAACATCTGGAGGGCACCAGGTTGGCAAAGACTGCTGGACACGCTTCTCTTGACATCAGTTCAAATGCTTCAAGGAGTGTGTCAGCTGCTACAGTATGAGAAGCGTCATCTTCAAGTAACGTTTTCATTTTAATATGGCAGAAA